CGCAGTGTTTACCGTAAGTGCTCAGTACACAGTCCTAGCTAGCTTCGGGGAGTACTGCCCTAGGCCCTGTGCAAAGCACAGGTGGAATTCCTTGGTACTTAAACTTCTCAGGGTGTCTTAGGTGCTAACCTTCTTCGCCATGACTGCCTCTTATGGCCATTACCTTCCTGACAACGAGGCAAGTCACTCCAGGCTGATTGTTCCTTGTTTCCTGGTCCCCAGAGAAGTTGGGTCTCCAACCCTAGGCCAGTCTCATGATGGGTCCTGGCTCCTCAGCACTGCAAGGCAGATGGGGTGATGAAATGGATTTCTTCTCCAATGTTGACCTGCGGTATAAGAGGAGTCGTTGACACACTCAAATCTGTATTTAAGGCTTGGGAGGTCAATGAGTATCTCTTGTTCAAGGACTTCCAATCTAATGTCTCCAGGGCTGCATGACTTGGACAGTGTTTAGTGTTCTGTGTTTCTTTGTGATTTTTGGCAGCCTCGCCTCCTCTCCCTTGACTCCTCATGCTCTCCCTCTCGCTCTCTACTCAGAATAGTCTCTCCTTTGTTAATCTGACCACTCTGCTGTCTTTCACAGTCACATGGCAAACTCATCAGATTGGCCATGTTACCACAGCAGTCCATGAAACACAACCTTTCTAAATATTTATTTAATTACAGCTCATAAAAGCAAGATATAATGTAGAGGCTGGAACTTTGTATATGTTGTGTTTGGGGTAAGGGTTGCCTGCCCATGACCATGTGGAGGTCAGAGGACCACTTTGTGAAACTGGTTCTGTCCTTGCACCTTTACGTAGGCTCCAGGGATTGAACTCAGGTCATCAGGTTTGTACTGCAAGTCCTTTTAGCCACGAAGCCATCATTCCTAATGATTTTTAAAGTAACTTCTCCCTCATATTTATAGACATAAAACAATTTTGGGAAAATGAAAATGTGCCATAAACTGAACGAGATACTATATTTGTGGGGTATTTTTTATTTGTTTTTTTTCTTCATCTTTTTTTGTTGTTGGTTCTTGACAGGGTCCCCTCGTCACAGCCGACCTGGAAGTCACAATGTGAACCAGGGTGGCCTTGGCCTCGCAGGATCCACCTGCCTCTGCCTCCCGAGGGCTGGGGTTAAAAGCCCACGCCACCACGCCCAGCTATATTTCTGGTTTAAGTATTGGAAATCAACATGAAAGAATATGACCTAATTTTAAATGGATGTTTTTGAGCATATTGACAGTCCAAATCAAAGAAAATTTGACATCAGATTAAAAAAAAAAATCTGTAGAAATGTATTTCGAAAGTTCATGTCCTTTCAGACATCCATCTCTTTTTTGAGACTTCACATTTAAGGTTATCAAAGTACAGCAGAAATTTTCTACACAAGCATAATCACAACATTGATCTTCATAATTGCGTCAGATTGATGATCACTTACTTCCTCTCTACATGGGATTCCAAAGATAAGTGCACTATGTTATGAACATTGGTTCCCTTAAAATTGTATTTTAGGGCTGTAGAGATGGCTCAGCATTTAAAAGCACTGTCTGCCTTTGCAGAGGGCCTGGGGTCTATTCCCAGCACCCACATAGCATCTAACTACCATCCAAATTCCAGTTCCAGGGGATCCGATGCCCTCTCTGACTTCTGTGGGCATCGTATGACCTGGGTACACTAACATACATACAGGCAATACACACATACACATAAAAATAAAATAAAATTTTATTTTATTTTTAATTATATATGTGTATGTCTATGTGTGGGTATGTACTTTTGAGTGCAGGTAACTCCAGAGGCCAGAAGAGGGCATCAGATCTCCTGGGGCTGGAGTTAGAGGATGTTGTGAGTTGCTGGACATGAGTGTTATGGTATTGGGAACCTAACCTGGATCCTTGGGAGGAGCAGCAGGTACTTTTAAACCACTGAGCTATCTCTCTAGCCCTGAACATTGTTTCCTTAGAAAGTGATTTTTGTCTTTAATTTATTGCATAATTATACATAGCTCTTAAAATGCAAACTTACAATGCAATGAAAAGTTCCCTACTCAGCCCTGTTCCTGTTAGCCTGGGTCTCAGGTGTCCTTCCCTCCTCAACCGCACATAAGCTCTTCTGGAGTTCTAAAAGTGCAGATCCAAGTCTAGTGTGGATGACTGCTTTCCTCCTTTCCCACGCAGTATGAATCGTGCCCTTCCCACCACTTCACATTGTGCATTTATTGCATAACAATGTGTTGTCAAACTCTTCCACGGGAATACCTAAAAATATTTCCATTTTATATTGTTTTATAGATAACAATTCCTTTGTCTGTTTAGCCAGAATCCAAATAACAAACATTTGGGTTATTCTTATCTTATGCTATTCCATAAAATACTGCACAGATACACTTGTAGATACATAATTTTACACTTGTGTAAATATACTGCAGAATAATTTCCCAGAAATGTGATCATTGAGTAAGGAAATTAAACCTCTAAAATATGACTAGGTATTGCCAAATTGCCTTTTGCAGTGAATTTTATCAGACTAGGGCTACCATTAGCAATATATGACTGTATTATAGTCCCTCTAGCCTCACAACCACAGTGAATCCAAAGTGAAACTTTTGACTATATGCCCACTCCATTGTAGACATGGCATCTCAGCATATCAGTCAGTCAGCCACTGCCAGGTGACACCCTCACCCCTAGAATAAATATGCTAAACTAAAGTAATCATGATTCCTTTCTCACTGCTGTGAGGGCTGGCTGGGTATTTCTGCTGTTTTCTTGAGTCTGTTTATTTGGCTGGAATAGGGCCTTGGGAAGGTCCCCATCTGTCCCTAAACTTACCTTCACCCTCAGATACCACACTGGGCATTGTCACGAGGGTATCAGAATTTCAGGCGGCAAGCAGCAGCGCACAAGTGTGCATCACACTTTCTGACATCCTAGTCACGTGATCCTGCCCTTCACGATGAAGAGGACCCCACAGGAGTTTAGTGCCTGGAGCCCTGAATCCCAGTGGCACCCCCAAGATGCTACCCACTTCATTTCTGTGAGTTTGAGAAGTTTGAGCATCTTTTCAAAAGTTTAGCTATTTTTTAATATTTCCTTTTCCATCAGATATTTGTTGTATCTTTAGTTAATGTTAATCAATTACCCAAGTTTTTGTTTTTCTAGATTTTCCTGGCTTTTCTATTTATTGAAGAGATTGGTCACTTTTCTATGGTCTCAGTTAGAGGTATTTACCTCCTTTCAAAGACACAGTGACTTAGAGAATCCAGCCCATGGTGGCACAGTCCTCCTGAGTGCTTCATTTCACTGTTTCTGAAACACTTGGTTTTGATGTTATGGTAGCATGCTTCCATTTTAAGAAACAGAGAGTTAAATGGAGTTTTCCAAACTAGTCTTTTAGATCCTACTGTGATACTTGATTCTGACTTTTATTTATTTATATTTTATTTATTATTATTTTATTTTATGTGTAGGCGTATATTGCCTGCTTATATGTAAGTGCACTCACATCAGTGCCCGTGGAGGTCAGAAGAGGATGTCTGATGCCCTAGAACTGGAGTTACAGGTGGTTGTTAGTCGCCATGTGGGTGGTGGGAATCGTACTCAGGTCCTCTCCAAGAACAGCCTTGCAAGAGGTTTGCAAGTGCTCATAACTGCTGAGCCCTCTCTCCAGCCCCAATTCTGCCTTTTAGTTAATTGGTAGTGATTCTCTGATAGTGACTTATTCTTGATTTGTGTAGCATATGGATCATTTTTACATTTAAGAAACATGGTTAGAAGATGGAGAGATGGCTCGGAGGTAAAGAGAACTGGCTGCTTTTGCAGCGGATTTAGGATCTCTGTCCAGCACCCACATGTGGCTAACAACCATCCATAACTCCAGTTCCAGAGAATTCAACACCCTCTTCTGGGTCCTGTGGGCAGAGCAGGCACATTGTGCACTTTCATACCTGCAGGCAAAAACTTACACACATAATAAATAATAAATAAATAAAATAAGTAAATAAAACAAAAATTAAGCATCTTTGGGTGCTCAGCAGTTCAGTAGGAAAGTATAGACCAATATCTCTTTTGAACAAATGCTTCAAGATTAAACCAAATATTAGCTTGTAGACTATAAAAGAATATAAACACTATATACCACAACCAATATTTCCCCAGCATCTCAGCACATTTAAACATTTGAAATAATGTTAATATTCATCATTTCACATCAGCAAGCTAAGGAAGAAAACTGAAGTGACATCAATAGATGAGGAAAGGCTCCTCTTACCGGGAGCCTGAGTGAGGTGCCAGATCCCATGTTGGGCGGCTCACAACCGCTTATAACTCCACCTCCAGGGGATTGGATGCCCTCTTCCTGCCTCCACAGGCGCCCACACACTTTGTGCCATAAATACATTTATAATTTTTATGGTAAATTTCAGTTTTACTATACACACAAGTAAACAACTCTATTTCTTCAACGTTAAATCAGAAAGATTCTGAACAATTAGGAAAGGGGAGTTAGTTAATGAAAAGTCTAGTGGTTTTGTTTTGTTTTTTAAGGAAAGTTAAAAAATCATTGAGGACTGCAGCCAGGCCTTGCCAGCCTCTGGGTGATGATGAGAGTCAGCCGACCATGGTTGCCACCAAGTGCAGCAGGTAGGCAGGCTGGCTCCGCTCAGCTCCACCCTACTGGTTCATGTGGATTCCCAGGCTGCTGTGGCTCCATGGGTGTGTGGCAGCCAAGCCAGCTCCATCCTGCCTGTGTGAGTGGGCAGCCAGGCCAGTGACCCCACCATCTTGGCCTCCCAGGAATTTCCCCTCTTATTTTCCAAGTCCTGAGTCCAGAGTTTTGAGGTCAATGTAGAAGTGCCTATGGTCAGGTGTGACACGGTTCCTCACGTGGTCCATCAAATGCATTCAGTCTCTTTGGAGTTGGTGCATCCCAGGCCCCAAGGCTGGATGCCCAGGGAATTCCTCATTCCTAGGCCAGCTTTTCTCTCGGCACCGTTATTTGAGCTGTCTTGGTGTTCCCTTTGGTCTGGATCTGAACTCGTACTGAACAATGAGTTCTGGTTGCAGAACAGGGTTTATTTTTGCACCTGTCTTTCATGTTCTTGTCTACCAGTTGAACAAATACATACAAAGTGCTATAAAAATAGTGTTCTTAATTCATGGTGTGAAATATGTAATTTAGATAACATAAATTGCGTATTCATAGACTACCCTCAATACATGTTTGTTCTCCTTTTTATTTTCTTTCATGTTTTATTTTATGTTTGATACAATTTCATTGTACAGCCTTGACTGGCCTAGAGGTTGCTTTGCAGACAGACTAATCTCGAACCCACACTGTTTCTTCTCTTTTCTACCACATATTCAAAACTAATTATTTGCTATAAAGAGTAATAGAACAATGGCTAGGAATTAACAGCTGAAGATGATCTATTGATGGTTGATATGTGATAGAAAGTTGTAAAAGTTTGTGAAGTAAAGAACTCTTGTTTGAATAGTGGAATAATATTCATTAATTTGGGAAAGTTTTGAACCACACATCTCACTTAAAACCCAAATATGTCACATAGTGGTGTTGGTCAGTGTATTAGTTACTTTTCTGCTGCTGTGATAAATCACCATGACCAAAGGCAACTCACAGAAGAGTGTATTTTGGCTTGTGGTTCCAGATGGGTAAGAGTCCATTGCGGTGGAGAAGCAGCAAGTGGAGGGCACGTTGGCAATAGTTGAAAACTCAGGAATGACGCTTCAGCCAAAAGCAAAGAAAGCAGGCTAGAAATGAGACAAGCCTGTAGACTCTCAAAGCCCACTCCCAGGGATGCGTTTCCTCCAGCAAGACTCCGCTTCCTACAGTTTTCATGACCTCCACAAACAGCGCCACCAACTGAGGACCAGGTGCTCAGAGACATGAACCTATGGGAGGCACTTGTCCAAACTACCACAGTTTTGTGTCTCATCTTGGCTAGACTCTAATGTCCAGTTGTTTGAACCAAAGAATCAGGCTATAGTTTGGTGTGAAGGTTTTTAAAATTTTTGATTAGCGTTTTTTAAATCAGTTGAATTTGAGAAAAATCTAGATTACCCTAGAAATATGAGTGGGTCTAAACCAGGAGTTCCAGGAGAAGACAGCAAATTTCCCAGAGATGAAGGAACTGTGTCTTTTCATGGCAACATAGTAATACTGCCCAGTCTTCACTTATCTGGAATTTCCAGATTACTAAAATTCTCCAAAGATTTAGCATTTAATGGTACTCATATTTATACAATATAGGCTTTTCTGTCTTTCACTGTCTCTCTGTCTGTCTGTCTGTCTGTCTCTCTGTAATATATACAAGCATAGTAATACAAAGAACATTATCTTAAAAAGAATATAATTATGGTGCTTTGAATGAAAATGCCCCCCCATAGGCTCCAAGTATTTGGACACTTTGTCCCCAGATGATGGCACTGTTTTAGGAGGTCTTAGAAGGTGTGGCTATCCTGGAGGAAGCACATCACTAGGGGTGGGCTTAGAGAGCACTTAAGCCTTGCTAGAGCTCCAGTTGCTCTCTTGTTTCCTGTACCTGCTGGAAGATGTAGAGCCTAGTTTCTGCTCCTCCTCCAGCCACCTCTGCCACCATGCCTCCCTGCCATGAAGGACTGTAAATCCCCTGGAACCATAAGCTCAAATAAACTCTGCCATCTATAAATTGGGTTGGTAAGTGTTTCTATCACAGCAACAGAAAAGTGACTAATACAGTAATTGGTACCAGGAGTGGGGTGTTGGCTGTGAAGAACCTGACCATGTGGGGTTTTGGAGGAATGTGGAAGACTTTGGAAGTTTGGGCTAGAAAAGCTGTTGATTGCTGCAAGTAGAGCTCAACAGGCCATTCTAGTAGGGGCCTGGAAGAAAGTAGTGCTGAGCCAATGTTGTTCTAGAGGGAAATAAGGACTTAAGTAGCACTTGGGATATTTTGGGCACAAGTCTGGCTGGAGTCTGCCCTTGACCAAAAAGCTTACCTGAGGCTAAATTGAAAAGCCATGGACTAATTTCTCTGGTGGAAGAAGTTTCAGGACAGCCTAATATAGAAATGGTGGCATGGCTATTAATGGTGAATATTATTCACATCTACAGTGAAAGAGAGCAAACGGGGCAGAAAGAAATACAGAATATACAGGATAGATTGAAAAAGAACATTGGTAAGATAAATGGAGTTCTGGCATGTACTGGAGAGGATCCCTTTGATAAGGAGATTAAAGTGATTAAGGAGGGGCCTAGAGATTCAAATTTAAACAATGGAGAGAGTGCCTCCAGGGAAAGACCACACCCAGGTCAGCCTCCAACTTGTGAAAGCAAAATGCTGCAGAGACCACTGAAGAGGAGAGCTTCCAAAATGGATGAAGCAGGCCGGAGTCCACCCCAAACTTGCAGTCAAACTTGGCAGTGTCATTGACCTGGTGCTGGCTTTAGAGGCATGAAAGATGGAAGAGTGAAGGGTCATCAGTTCTTCCTCCGAGGTTTCAGAGAGCCACTGAGGCCAGGCAGCGTGCAGCAGAGGTACCCCTGCCTAGAGAAGGCCCTGACAGGCCAGTAGGTGAAGCTGTGAAGGTGAAGCCTGGTTGACAATGGAGACCCCAAGAAGACATTCGTGATGCCAGAGCTGTGAGACATCTGCCAAGACCTGCACAGAGGGAGTGGTACCAGCCAGAGAGAGATGTGTGTTGCACACAGCAAAGCTAGAAAGGCTGAGCTATCGAAGCCCTTTGGAAGTAAAGTCCCAGAAGTTGGACGTGGAGCTACTGGATTTGGTGTTTGTCCTGCTGGGTTTTGGTCTTGTTTTGGTCTGGAATTTCCTAACTATGCCTCCATTCTGGTAATGTGTATTCGGTTCCACTGTATGTTGGGAGTATGTAATTTGTCTTTTGATTTTGTAGAGGCTTACAGTTAAGATATTTACCTGAGTCTCAGAAGAGATTTTGGACTGTGGACTTTTGAATAGTATTGAGACTGATAGTGACTATGGGGACTTTTAATGTTGGACTAAATGATTTCAATGGTAATGTTTTTCACATCTACTAATTATTAAGGAGAAAATTTTTATGCTTTGAAGAATTTTTTTTAAATTTTTATTTATTTATACACCCACTTCCCAGGTAGCACCCTCCCATAGCCTCCCTCCCCCCACTAGAGCTCTTATACTCTGATATCCCTGCTACTGTCTACTATGTTGTCAGCACCCCCAGCCATTCCCCACTACTTGCCCTTCTGGTGAATCTAGTCAGCCTATCTAGAGGTCTTTGTTTTAGGAAGGTCAGCTGTTCCTCATCTAGGGGTAATCAGTTGTCTACATTCCTTTGGATAAGATTGGGGTCTGCTGCTAATTTTCCCAGTTATGTGCTGGGTTACTATCTGGGAATCCCTTTGGACACCCTGGCCAACAACTCAAAAGAAGGTATCGCTTGTCTGGCATTGTTGCTTGTTATGTAGCCTTTAGCTATACATATGTACTCTTAAGAAGTTATGTTGGCCATTTAATCTTTGGTTATACTTTTCTTTTGTGTGTTTAAGGCCATACGGTTTGTCCAGATAAACTGATTTATTTTTACTCTTAAGGTCATTTGAGGATCTGTTCCTCAGAGGTCACATGGGCTTGGGAGGAGCCCCCGGCTCCTTTCTTTTACCAGTTCTGCCTATGTGAAGATAAGTCAAAGGTCCTGCTCGACCATGGTTGGCTTCTCTTGGAGGCATGGAGGAAGTGATTCCTCTGTGTTGACCCTCCTCTTTGTAGACTGGACACTGGTTCAAGTCCATCTGGTGGGGTCTCCTTGGCCTCCTTGATTAAGGGGACAGGTGACCCACCACCATTACAGGACATTTTGAGAGATGCTCATAGTCCCCTGGAACTGGTCGACCTAGGAGGGCAAGGAGCAAAAAGTGTCCTTTATGTCCCTCTGACCAAATTAGTATAGGCCTCAAAGTATGTTTGTTAAACATCCAAGAAGGTTAGTTCCACCAGTCTGGTACTTTTAATTACTGTGTACCAAGTAGATAAATCTTGATCAAAGACCAATTGTTCTCAGATAAAGCTTACCTACACATATATTTCTTGATGTTGTAGGAGTAATATGGTTCCCTCTGGCTTTCAAAACTAGCTAGGCATTGTTTATCTCTCACATTGTCTACCCCTTCCACCATGGTTTCCCCATTTAAGGTGCCCCTGTTTTTCCCATTTCTCCCTTAACAATACCCATCTCCTATGGTCCCACCTCTCTTGAGCTACTTCTTTCCCTTTATCCCTGGTTCCTTTTCATTGTCCTGGTTCCTGT